GGAAACAGTTGTTCTTTATTTCCCAAAGATGTGGGACGAGGAGAGGAGTGAATGTATATTTCAGCTGCCTGAAATAATCTGTTCCCCCTCCATAATATGGGAAGAAATTAATTAACCTGCAAATCTTTAACTGTGTTTATTCCTCTCTTCATCAACAACAATTTTTTTTTTTTTTTTTATGTAGCACTTTGAGATTTGAAGTCAAATGTAAAGTGCATTATAAATAAAATTCATTATTATTATTATTATTATAACAAATCCTGTAGATTTGGTAATATTTGTTCCATATTTACCAGAGTTATGAGAGGGAAATCATATATTTTAGCCACCTGATATAATCCGTTCCCCCTTTGATGCTCTTTATGAAATGTATTTTCTGTTTAAATGTTTATCTAACAATTTACAAATATTCCAAAAAAATAAAAAATTCAAACTAAAACCACTGGACTTTGTTTTCCAAGTTTGAAGATATTTTGCTTTCCATCCAGAAAGCTTTCTCAATTCAAAATGTCTGGAGCAATGTGACTCCAGACATTTTGAATTGAGAACCGAAAATACATTTCATAAAGATCATCAAGTCATATTTATTTTAATTATTTTGGATTTCAAAATATAACATAATAATAAATGTTTCAAGCATAATATAGCAAAAATAATGACAGTTTAAACATTCGCAGGATTTGTTTATTTTTTTTCCCATGTTATGGGGAATGGATTATATCATGTGGCTAAAATATTTGATTTTCCTCTCATAACTTTGGCAAATAATAATCAAATGTCACCAAATCCAGAGGAATTGTTGTTGATGAAGAGAGGAATAAACACAGTTAAAAACTTACAGTTGAATTAATTTCTTCCCATGTTATGGAGGGGGGACTGATTATTTCAGGCAGCTGAAATATCCATTCTCTCCTCCTCCTATATATTTGGGAAATAAAGAGCAACTGTGTGCAAATTCTAAAAAAAATTATGTTTGATAGCTTGTCGTATACTAAAAAAATGTCCTTAATCCAGTAATCTGTCATATTTTACATTAGAACTGGATTTACCTGAAAGTCTACCCTCTTATCTTCACCCTCAGGGCTAAGCCCCTGATCTCCTAGAATCCTAGATCCGCCCCTGCACTTAAGATTTATATAATATATCCTTAAAAAACTACCACAACAAGTTTTTTTTTACCAAGGAAAATGCTATATCACATGAGCAGTAGGCTTTTTTTTTTTTTTTACCACATTACTTTTTGCCTTCAGTAAACTTCAGTATATTTAATATATTTAATAATAGGAAACAAAATGTCAGCTGAAAGAGCGCCTCCTGGTGCCTGGAGATTAAACTTTTTATGAGATAACCGAAGCAGATTCGAACAGGTAGATTTTTTTTTTTTTTTTTTTTTTTTTTTTTGACAATCAGTTAACAAATGGTTTTCAACACATACACAAAATAACCGTACATATTTAAAGGTTTCTCATTTGTTATATAATTACTCGACATAGGTTGGACCCCCTGACCCACAGCATTGGTAAAATAAAAAGAGCATAATTTGCGCTTTGTCAGCGAGCTATTATATTGAAAAAGTATATTTGAAAGTAGTTACAATTTGTCTTTTCTAAAATCCACATTAGAACTTGGACGCCATGCGTTACATGTGGCCTTCTTGAAAGTGAAAGAAATAGGGCGAAATGGGTGTGTGTGGGGGTGGGGGGTTGGGGTGGTTATGAGGACATTATGATTCGTTATTCATTTGGGTCTTAATTTTCAAACTTTCCTTTTATTACTTTATTACCAACATCTTTGCCTTTTTCAGTTAAAAAAAAGTCACCCTGTTTTGAAATTGATGTAATGTCCCCAAAAATGTAATGCCTCTGTTATAAGCAAGACATCCATACCCATATTGATCTGAGCTATTTTTCTTTATAATCATTGATGTGTTGATTTACACAAGCATGTTTTAAATGTTATATCTTCTTTCTGATGCAACTAAAACAAACGCAACAGGGCATCAAAACATGCGTGTTGATTTCTCTTACCTTTTCAGACATCAAATTGGACGTCTGTGTTATGCAGAATAAAAAGGCTTGGTAATCCTCAAACGTGAGCGCCACTTTCCAAATTCCTCTCCCCCGGCTCCCTGTAACTCCGGTGACTGCGCTGCGTCTCCCCTGGAGAGGCTCGATATTCCAAACGCGTCTTTTTGAACCAAATGCCCAATATCCGACCGAATTCACAGTAATCAAAAAGTACTTCAGATGATCATATCGTCATTTAGCAAAGAAATTTGTTACATAACAGTGTATAATTAGACGGAGGTGTAAGGTGGTAAATAATCGGACGCTGGCGCGCATTAAACGGCGGTGCGCATTTGGTCACCGCATTTCTTCCTCCAGTTCCCTTCTTCCCTCTGTCTGCTTTCAGCACCTGCAATCGCCCAAACTTAATTGGTAAGAGTGAAGAATAGAACTGTATCCAAGTTGAAAAGGGAGAGCTCCATCCGCGCAGGCAGGCGCGCTGCGCTTCGGTGAGGGCAGAGTAAACATGCGTCTTAGGGGGAAGGATGTGTGTTGTTGTAACACAACATTGAAAAATAAAAATAAATAAATAAAGCAGAACAATTAAAATCAAGACGTCACAAAAAAGTGCTCCTCCTTGTATGGATGTTTGCGTTTACACCAACTTCAATAACACGATCCAAACGATCCCCATCTTTGCTCTGTGGTGCAGAGAAAACGCAGCTTCTCGCCGACAGTTGGCTTGAACGTGCATCTCTGCTGGACTAGTCCATGCAAACTCGGGGAATTCCTCAATAGAGACGCCCAAAATGAAAAAAAAAAAAAAAAAAAGAGAGCTACAAAACGAGTACAGCCTTTGGCTCCAGAACGCAGCCTATACCAAATATCTCACCCGCCTGTTGCCATTATTTTATGTGAATCCAGCGCATGTTTCAAAGCGCAGGACTTTACCAGCAATCGTTAACAGTGCGTAGTACAAAGCAGGGACGCGCTCTGTGGGTGATTTCAGCTGAAAGACGCCTCTGAGCTGCACACTGCTGTTCATATTTTATTATAAAAGGTTTAAACTATAAGGTGCGATTTTAGATGCATTAGATAAACAATTAACATATGCAATTTACAAACATTAATTTTATTCCCATAGTCTATGTGCTGGTTTATCTGTCCTTGGATACAGGTGGGGTGGAAAGTAAAAGGCCCTTTGAGGTGCAGCAAATTAATATTTAAACGGCAAGCGGGAACGCAGAAGGAAGCACAAAGAGCGTGTGCGCGCGTGGCCCTGTGTCGCGCACAAGTGAGGAAAGGAGGAACAGAAGCTAATACACAAGTTAATAATTTGTGCATTTTGAGAGTTTATTCAGCATGGAAATATAGGGGGTTTACAACTTCAAGGAAAATGATAACTGATAGTGAGAGCTTTGGATACTTATGGGTCCCACAGAGGTCATAATACATTTTAGAGATGTTTATTCTCTATTAATGATTCGTTTGGATCCCTTGGTTGCTGGCTTTCCAAAAGCTAATTGATCTGACTTAGTTGGGGTAATTATACTTGTAGACAAGGACAGACAGATAATGAGGAAAGGAACTCAACTTCCCAAAAGTGTCAGATTGGTTGAAGGTTTGAGAGGACCAAATTGCAGACTGAAGCTGAAGGTAGTTTTTTTTGCAGATTTAATAATCCAAAAAGGGCAACAGAAGCAAAAATCCACAAACACAAATCCACAAAATCCAACAAAATACTGAAATTCAGAAAATCTTACATAAAGGATAAATGAATAATGACGATGAACCAACAAACAGTGACTAAGCAGGAGGTGTATATATGGGAGACAGAAACAAAGACCGATTTTTATTTTTTTAACAGTGTCCTGTCTGGTAATGTGGAAATAAGAATAATTGTCTTGATTGCCAAAAAGAGAGCACGACAGATTTTGCTTTCACAAGTGGAGCAGTACTGCTATCGCCATAGCGTTCCGCTTGATTTTTGCATATGAATTGTTTCATTATAATACATGCAGGGAGTATTGCAGATTATATGGACACTGCACTGTAAGTATTACAGGAAATGAAAAACAGAAAAAAGGAGAAAAGATAAAAGAAAGAGGCGATAAAAGGGAGACAATGATAAAATGTCTTCAGTCTGCTTCATCACCTGCAAAGAGAGACGTAAAAAAGAACAGCACAACCAACAGATATAGTAAAAGACATACAATAAAGTAACACCTTGATTCTATCGCTGAAGTATAAATAGTATTATTTAATCTGACATGTACACTGTGGTAGCTGAAGATAAGAATATGGGCTTTCTGTATGGAAGTGAATCTCTAAGTACCTAGAACCAAAGCACCTGTAGTTGTTTGTGAGAGCGCACTTGTGCATGTATAGTTTATCCCCCCCAGATCACCGAGGTGAGCGCCAGAGAACCCAAAGTCCAAGACGTCCAAAGGAATCCCAAGAGCAAAAGCGACCAGGAGGGGCAAACCAAGGAAATCTGACCCCCCACCAAGGTAGGAGGAGAGACGGCCCCTAGGAAATTCCCCAATGCCGAAGCCCCCAGGAGCAAGGGGACAAGTACACGGGCTCCGCCAGCACCACCCGACACCGGGGCATCCACCCCCAAACACCGAGCACCACCAGTACACCGGCGAGCCAAAGCGCCAGCCAGCAGAGGGGGTAGGACGGGGGGGAATGGGCTCCGCACTTACGGAAGACTTGAGATGGAGATTTGGAGCAGGTGTGGACAGAGGAGTTAAGAAGGGAGCTGAAGGAAAGGAGAACTGACACAAGATGGCAACAGAGGGCAAACATGAAATACCTAAGAACTCAAATACAATAAAAATGACTAGAATAATAGAAAATGGAAATAAAACCATTGAAAACTCAAAGATAAAACTGAAACAGAACCAAAACCATGACACAAAGGTCCTAACTTTTCCTTCGCTTCAGTACTATACCAGCAGGGTTTCTCAAGTTTCTGTCTTTATTACTTGTACTGCCTGAGCGTAAAAAGGGGAGTTTTTAACAGATTTTAGGAGAATATCCTTTTAAGATATTATATGCTATGAAATTAGTAAAAGCAAAAATACTACAAAAACTCAAACCAAAGATACCAAAAAGGTGTAAGATTTTAGAACATCTTTTTACCAACTCTTTATCTGTTATGATTATATTGTTCTTGAGTTAAAATATACGATACCAAGTATGATCCTCTGAGTGTGTGGCACAATGAACATGATTTGCTAGGTGGTTAACTGTAGATAATAATGATGGAGCCAAAGTTGGTGTGTTATCCTTTGTCTGGGTCTCTCCAGTGAGTTGTGACTGACACCTAACCTGTCAATAGTGTTTCCTTCCTCCCTCTTATTGACTGGATAGAGGCTCCTTTCATTGTTTTGACTGACTGGAACTTCTTAACAATGCTGCTTCCCTTTCCCTTCTTCTTAACACCAATTAGACTAAAGCTTCTATCACTCTCTCTTTTAATCTTGCTCTTAAATTGCCTAGAAATGATCTCATTCAGGTATACTAGAACAGGGTTTTTTTGGTGAGTAATTTATAAATCAGTCCATTTGATATAGCCTTTTCTTATAATTTTGAGGATAATGGCTGACAGACAATGGAGACAAAAAAATCAATAGTTCAAAAAAGAGAAAATAACATAAAATCAATGAAACAGTATCTTAAAGACAACAAATATATATATATCAGGCTTCTGAAAGGTATCACTATCTTTGGGCTTTATTTGCATGGATATCTTCTTAAGTGAGGTGTTGTATAAAGGCGCTCAACCTGTGGCACTGTTCTATTTGAAGCCCACGTTGCTTCAGATCACCAGCTATCACTGTTGTCTGTCACCTTTCTCTTGAAAATACCCTCGATCCTTCAGATAAGGCCAGTTCGCTGTTCTATCAAGCACAGGAAAACCATGGTCACTGATCCAACTTTTATTAGTATTAGCTGTAGGCAGGCGCCAAGTCTTGCTGAAAAATGAAATTAGCATCTCCATTAAGCTTGTCACCAGAAGGAAAAGATTGTGCCAAGATTCCAGGAACATGGCTGCATTGATTGTGATCATCAAAAGACCCAGTGGACCAACAAAAGCAGATGACATGCCGCCAGAAATCATTCACTTTGGGAATTTGCCTCCTCTCTTTTCATCTGAATCTGACACCTTCAAATTTTACTTTCATTTGACAAAAGGACTTAAGAACCATGTGAACAGAGCGGACCAGCTGTTTTTTCCTTGTCCATGTATTACCTCTGATGCTGTTTCAGGACAGGAAGAGATTCACATAAATGTATATTTAAATTTTATATTTGTATTCCATGTGTGAGATTCATCTGATGTAGTTGCTCTTGATGTGGCAACTAGCCTCAGACCTCTCTTTGTGAAGCTCCATCATATACTTAAATGGATTTGGCTTGCTGCTCTTTTCACACCTTTCTGTTTCAGTAGTCATCAAATAATTGTCATAAATTTCCCTTTGTGTATCTTTCATATCTATTGCAAGGATTGGAAATCCCAGGTTCTGAGGGATGATATAGTCTATATACAATATATATACACTATATATTGTATGTATAGTGTACCAGTGTTGTATAGTAACGAAGTAAAAACACTTCACTACTGTACCTAAGTTTATTTTGGAGTACTTTATACTTTCCAAGAGTATACATTTTTTTGAGAACTTTCACTTTTACTTCACTACATTTACGAACTTAATTGCATACTTTTACCCCGATACATTTTCAATGTTTGGTTTAGTTACTAAGTAAAAAAAAACAAGAAAAAAAAACAAGTGAGAGAGCGAGAGAAACGCAAGTGTTTTGACCCCACCCTCTGACTACAAAGTCGGGTCTTGCCCTGGGCTTGTTCATCAACACCAATAGGATATAGATTGGTCACTAGGCACTAATGTGAAATCTTGAGCATTGTTTTCAGTTCCACACGTGGTGTATTTAGCTTAAGCTAAATGTTGACTGTAGCAGGCTTTTGAAGATGAACAGAAGATTATACAGTTTCAAGTGATAATGGGGTTATGTGCAAGGATGACCACAAGGGGTGGATAAGATTTGGAGGGGAAGAAAAAAGTCAAGGGCAAAAGTATGGAGGGGATGAGGGGCTTGTGTTTACAAAGTGTTTAAGATTTAGTTAATTGGCCTGAAGTGCATCTTTTTTTCTCTGGTGTCATGTAAACTTAATTTCAGCACTGCCTTTTTTTACGTTTTAAGGTAGTTTTACAAAAATTGTTTTCCTCTTCAGATGCCAAATAAGCTGAAGTTCCCTCCCTCCCATTTATTTTTCTTTTGTAAAATGACCTGTTATGTGTGTGCCTTTTGTTTGTGAAGTAAAGTAATTTACAGCTTTTTTTTTCTTCATGTTGGCCGCGTTTACAAAAGGTGCTTCAAACTGGACTCCCTCGTCAGATGCCAGATAAGCTTCCATTTTTTCTTTTTTTGTAATGATGTCAATAACAGTAGCAGGAATAAAACTTGGTCTAAATTTATTCTACACTTGGTAGTGTATATTATTTT